GGAGGATAGATGATTATAATTATTTTCTCTCGAATTATACTCGAGACGTAAATAAATGTCCTTTTCGAATGATTAATTGCGGTAATTTTCAAATCGAATCTGGTAAACTCTCTGTGGCGTTCAAATGATTAACAGCTGTTAGTGTACGTTTATATCGATATGACTTGATGTTCGTTCCGCGACATGAGCTTAGAGATTTAACTAGAGAGACGGTGAATTCCATCCAGCCACGAAAGTCGAGCGACGCGTGACCTTGCTGACCCCGTATATAGCCGTGTCTCGCGTGAGGCTGGTTTTCGGGCGACGATTACCATATTCCGAGCACCCGGTAGCTCGGCGTGTTCGGGCACACGAATAATCCGTGTATTTTCGAGCGAGGAGACGTCGTGTGCGTGCTTGAGTTTAGCCATGAAGCTGCTTAACTTATCGGTTCACTCATCTCTTATCGACGCCAGATCTGTCGTTCTCCACCCGATCCCGCGTGCCTCCGCTGCCTGCCTTCAACCCCGCCACGACCTGTCGGAGATCTCATGAGAGAAGTCGAGGGAGGGGAAAGAGAAAGAGAAAGAGGAAACTCGCGAGAGACGGGAAGAGAAATACGTCTGCCACCGAAATGATTGATTCGTCGCGGTCTTCTCTATCGAAGGCGAAACTCCGGAAACAACTTTCACGGTGATAATATCGCTCGGTAAAAATCTCCGTGAGCGAGTCGAGACAGTAATTGACGGGCACAACCTTCGATGATAACTCGCGCGATTGAAAAGAATTCCGAATTAAAGAGTCCTCCGACGATCGTTTGTACAGAAAATTTCTTTCGCCAATTATTTATCTTTAATCGATCGATATACATAATCTCCGCTCCGGTCCTCGACGGTCGATTGGCGCGCGAGAAATCTCTGGGATCGGTTCGGCAGATTATTGAACGGCATATACACGCGGTCCCGATTGTCGAAAGTGCGTCGGGGGCTTCGACTATTTTGAGAACCATTCCGCTCTCGCCGTTCAGACGTTCGTTCGTTCTTCTTCCCCGCGCACGCCTTCTCGCGCTGTGGAAGAAGAAAGATTCGGACACGCGGGGCCCACGGCGCTAAGACTGTAATGTGTCGGCTTAACGTCAACGGAGACAGTCGCCTATTCCAACCGCTCGGACCGTCGGTCGTGCGGCTATCTCATGCGTGCGTGCGTGTCACGAATTACGGGTGTACGAACGACATGACGCGCGAGGAATCTGCGCGCGAGCATTGTACGGCGGGAGAATAAAAAGAGAAACTCGCGGAATCCTTTCATACAATCATTGACGATATACGGTTTTATGACTCCTGCTCCCTCGCTGCAGTCGTATTGAATTATGACGTCAGAAGCGAAAGCGCTAAATTTTTCCTCGCGTTACATGTCGAAATGAAACAGTTTCTCGCATATAGTAAGTCAGGGACATACGAAAGAATTAATTACTTTATGTATTCAATTTATTTTTATCAGTTAAACGTAAGAAAAAAATTGAATTCAAATGATTTCTGACATAATAATTCAGTAACGAGAAAATAAGATGCTGATACTGGTATTTCTGAAACAAATTTATTACCTCGCCATTTTAAAGTTATAATAATTCATTAATAAAGTTATCTTTCGGTTATTAAATTACGAATCAAAGACTGATATGATTTACATTTAATTAGATATGACTTATATTTAAGCTTGAGAGCTCAAAGATACTGAATTATTCTTGAAAGACAAACTTGTTCCTTCAACCATATTAGAATGTTCAGCAATTCAAATGTTAAACCAGAGAGGATTATACTTTTTTTCTCTGTCGCAATAACGCGTGGAATTTATTTTCAACTTTTTATTCTAACGACAAATAGAAGGCGTGCGTGGCACGATTCGCTCACCTCGCGAAACAGAAGGCAGAGGCTGAAAACGAGAGACGGGGAATTAGATTCCGCAGCGCGGAGAAATTGACAATGGGCTATCCGGAGGCTCGATGACAATGGCAACTCGATACTTCGTTTAGCGGGCTCGACCCGGCTTTTCATTCTCAGGACGGAACGACGCGATCGACGACGACGTTTCGGCGACGGCACGGCGTCGCTCCGGCGGCGGCCGTGAGGGATGACGACCTTTTGCCTCCGCTCGAAAGAAAAGCGTTTCATTGCGCGCATCGGCACCGTGTAATGACGATCCCATTGTCGGCCGCGCTCGCTTTTGAAGAATTTCGTGTGCATTGCGTCTTGTGTCGCAGTAGCATTAAGTCGCAGTAGCATTAAGTATCTATTACGGCCTCACGTTTCTTCCTACGAAATTTCCTCTTTCTCTCACCGCTTCCTAAAAGGCCTGTCTTTTCCGAAGGATCCCCGGAGATATCTCGTGCGCGGAGGAAGCGGAAGCGGGCGTATTCGGGAAACGGCGAATGTTCCTTCCGAAGCGGGGAACAATCGGAGTTGCGTCTCGGCCGTGGGAAGGGACCCGATTGAAATCGGTCTCTGCACCGTCGCGGCGCAGCGCGGAGAGAAAGACTTCTCATTTCCGCGAAGCGAAACGCGCCGGTCCGTCACTCGCGCGCAATCGCGGCAGCTCCCTTTCCCGCAGGCATGCATTCGGGATACAGGAAGTTCACCATTAAACACTCCGTATTCTAATGCGATCCCAACGTAACGTATCGCGCGTAATTTATACAGTAATGCAGTATGTAATGAATTGTAAATGCAATGAAATGTAAAACCGCGGGGTTCGCCACGCCGCAACGTCCTTTTACATATCCATGCACTTGTAATAAAAAGCGAACGAAAGTGAATAGTACGAGTTGCGCGAATAATGTATTTTCATGAAGCATATATTTTTTCCCTCTACGCGTATAAGGAAACGTATTAATTAATAGCTAACTTAATATTTTAATTTATTTCACATATTTTATTCAACTTTCGCGTTTCAGATAATCTTAAAGCAAAATGCAAAATGTATGAAAAAAACATGAAATATGATTAATAATATACAAGTGTCACTTCTGCTTCTGAAAATCGGTAGCTCGCTAGGTTTTATTCCCTTGCTCATTCAGCAGCGGACATTAAGATAAGTATAGAAATCCGCGGCGCAGTCCTCGAAGAAGCGCAACGACTCGCGCGACCTCCCGTTTTGCCCTTCTGTCTCCCCCCGTCACGTGTCACGGGCGGATCTGTGGCGGCGTGTCTGGCGGCGTATCTTGATTTCCAGCCGACCGCGATCTCTCCCAAGCTAATCGCGATAAGGCCGAGGGAAAAGAGGGCCCGGGAGAACGTGTGCCGCCAGCGGGGGATCGGAGTGAAAGAAGATTCTCATTTGCGGCGCGCGCTAATTGGCCCCGCGATTTCTCCGCGCGGACCGCGGACATTCGTCACGTTTGCCCCCCCGTTACAGTGGGCTTTCTGTCTTGCCAGCCTGCCCCCTCGCCGCCGCGACGCGGAAACAAGGCGATGCACTGTGCGACCCCCGTCACCGAGCAAATCGCCCGTCCGAATTTACGCAGCTTTTTTTGTCATCCGCTCCCTCTCCGCCGTTTATCGCTCGCTTAATCTCGTCGCAATAATGCCACGCTGCTGCCGAGAGCATCTTGAGAGATCGAGAGACGATTGTGAGATATTACATTAACATGGGATAGTCGAGAGAGAATTTTTTTTTTGACAGACAAAATGTTGCATCGCAAAAATTATAATTTGACGCAATTCCGTAGTCTAAATATTTTTCTTCGAGAGTCGCGCAAACTGAAGAATAGATGAAATTTTTATATACTTTATTAATAATATTTCTTTCTTTCGAAATAAATTTTGCATCACAGCGAAAGATTAGCGGTTTAGAAATATCTCTGCAATGGTAATCGTATAATAACGCTGATATTTTAGAAATTGCAGAAATCAGACTTCCGTTCGCCGGCGGTGAAAATAAAAACAGTAGCACCGAGACAGCAGTGCGCGTTTCATCTCGTAAACGCACTAATTCCGCAGAATTCCTCGACTAGAAACCGTCGCGACGCGTGTCTCGCCTATTAAGGCCGCCGCCCACACTCGCTCTCTCGGTTGTCGTCTTCGAGATTTCCGTCCCGCGGAAATCCAGCAACGACGAGCAACATTCCGGCGATCGCGTCGTCGCAACGGGATAAAATATCGTCTTTGACGAAAGCGATAAAGAAAAAAAGAGGAAGGCAAGCAAAACAGCAAAATCCTCTTCTCTCTCGTTCCGGGCCTCTCCCTCCCGTCTCGATCACGTTTATCGCGTCCCCCCTTCGTGTCGCGGTGCTCGCTTCCGGCGCTTCCGGTGTCACACGCCGTTGAGCACGCTCCACCCCTTCCAGGCGGCCCTGTGTACGTGTGTAAGGACCACGTCCGGCAAACCAGAAAGCATCCTAATTGTTGGTACAACACCGGGAGTCCCCCTCCGCGCTCCGACGCTGCCCCTTCATTGTCGGCAGACATCGTACGTGGGTGTTTGTGTGTGTTTGCAAACGGCCACCCGCGGTTGCTTCCGATGAAAATAATGTCACAGCGAGGAAATCACAAATTTGTGAATCTTGTAATTTTTTTTTTTCCACAAACGGTTGCATAATACACCACATTGCCAGTTTTGTCCGAGCCATTTCGACGAAATGTGTATCTTTGATCAAGATTATCAATTTCGATAATGCGTATTAAGATGGAAAGAATCACGCGATGTTAGCCATTCGATCGCGTTACACAGGATATCAAACTGGTTTAAATGATTATTCAAGCGTATGAATTTAAGAGGCGAATCCGACTGTCCGAAACGTTAAAGAGCCACTTTCTCCTCGATCTCCTTAATCGATTAATTAATACACTTTCGGAGGGCGCCGTAAGGTCGGCACTGACCACGCCGGCTGACGATAAGTCTCGCATCGATGTGTCGCGGACGAATAGCGGCTTCCGCCGCACAAATGCAGCTGTGCTTGTGACAGCGTCGGTACCGACTTCGCGTTGCGCACGGACGGGGAATAATAATTAATGAGCACTACTCACGTTGTGCAATTTGTAGTAGAGTCCGCAGGCGTTGCAGACCGGCTCGCCGGCCTGGTTCCTCCGCCAGAGGGTCGTGGTCGCCGTCTTGCAGTTGGCGCAGCTGGTGCCCGCCCGTCTCGCCGCGCTCTGCAGCGACAGTTTTGGAAAAGAGAAGACACAGATATCACACCCGTCACGGTTAATATTTCGGACGATCATTGCGCGCGGATCGTCGTGTTTAGATTTAATCCCAGCAATGTCAAAATGTCTACTGCAATTTCAGTTGTTTGTTTTTTTTCGTGCTTATATTATAGTTATATCTACAAAAGTTTGCGCTATTAAACTTTTCTTCGACTGTAAAGAATTGCAAGGAAAATATCGTTGCAGTATAATAAAGAATATTATTGTCAGATAGCTTTTTATCGTTTATGAAAATAACGAAATGTCTAATATTAATTTAGTAATTGAGAGCATAAACTTCTTCTCTTTTCACGATGCTAGGGTTAAATCTATTTATACATTGCGAATGCTGTTGGAAAAAATGGCGAGGAAACATTAACATAATTAAATACTCCTTAAAACGACAGGTCAATTAATTAAATTTGCTTCTATCTTATCGCAAAGTCAGATCGTGACACACGTCAGTTTTTATAAACGCACACTTATCGAGAGATATTCTTATCTTACATCATACGCAAATGGAAATTCAGAGTACTGTTTTAAGCTCCCTTTCGAACGAATTATTTCAAGAAGCATGCGGCGCATGAAAATCGCGAACGGACTCGCGCCGTGCGAGAGAGGATTATAAGACGCGGGAGCGACGGAATGAAATGCTCCGCTCTCGAGTGTATTCGAGTGCATCTACTCCCGCGCCAGGAGCGCATTCGATCCGTCGGCTTATGTGCGGAATCAAAAAGCCACGGGCTTGACGCGGGTTTCACCGTGACACGTATCAACCCCCCAAATCCCTCCCGGCTTGCCTGCCGGTCGGATCGAATGCGATCCCGAGGAAGGGGAAGAGGAATCTCGGTGGCACGGAGCGAGACGCGCCCGCCGTAAGAAAGCGTTTCACATTCCCGAAGAGTGGGAAAACTCGAAAAACTCGCCCGGCTCCGAGTACACCTGTACACCCTCGTCGACGCATGCGAGTGGCAAACACTTAACGAAAAGAAGAAGCGGGATCCATTTTATCCCTCGGGGCACTAACCGCGGCTTATTTCCCGTGCGTCCCGAAACCGGCGCGAACGCAACGAACGTTCTCGGGATGAACGAGACAGAGAGGAAGAGAGAGAGAGAGCAGGTATCTCACCGCCGTCGGAGATTCGTATTATAATGCTCTCCCGTCCCCCCCCCCCTGATGCCTCGCCGGTTTATACATCCCCACCTTTCGCTTCTACCCTCGTCGCTCTCTCGTCGGTTCTTCCTGTTGAACCACTTAACCGTTAATGGATGATACTGTTACCGAAAACTGCATGCCGCGTATAAACTCTAAGCATATCACACGCGTGTCTTTGTCTCGCCGAGACAAAGATGCTAGATGTTCTTTGATCCTTCCGGAATTACACTTTGGCTCGGCGGAGGTATGAAAAATGATCAGCTATCTTCCAAAAAAATCTATCGTAAATTTCTCTAAATCGTCGAATAATTTGTTGCAAATTTTATTCCTTACGCTTAAGTTCAATATCATAATTCGTATATAAATTTGATTAGGTTCTAATAAAAAAAAAATAATAATAATAATTTTGACGAGATGTTTAATTTATACATCTTGAAATCATTATTTGAAACTTGGCACGCACGCGGCCGACAGGATGAGCACTTTACAAAGCCGATCACTGTGTCGAGATAAAAGCGGCGCGCACAAGATGTTTCTCTTTCTGAGAGGCGCCCACCTCTGCCCCTCCACTTTCGCCCCTCGCGTTCACCCCTACGTCACGAACCACTTAACCCACCCCCCGAGATGACACTGCACCCCGGCACTTGGAAAGGCAAGGCACCGTCGAGCGAAACTATACCTGCGCTATTGTCGGCGAAAGCA